AATGTACCTATATTATTTGATTTTGTATTCACTATAATTATTTTTATATTTTGTCCTAATTTCAAGAAATTTTTATTTATTTTTTAAACACAAATTACATACTAATGTAATAACGGAATCAAGAAGTACTATGTTTCAAGAGAAATTAAATAGCTACAGAGCAAGAAATATATACTCGTACATTTAAATTCGGAAGACATTATTAATGATTTCAAAAACTTAACTGAACGCAGAATTGTATTATGATAAATTATAATTACTCATCATATTTATTTTTTCAATTAAGTATATAATTATGTTTTGTTTATTTACACTATAAATATAACGTATATAACTATAACCTTGAAAAAGAGGTCTGTATACGCCTATGTAGGCATACATTGAGATAGTCTGCGCACGCCTATAGTACAACATACCTTATCCTTAATTAATCTATTATTCACAGTAATCCATCTTAATTATTATGCAATATTTATTTTTTTTTTAAACATAAATTTATGTATAATATATATTATAAAATAATATAAATTAAATATATTCTGATTGAGTATATGGTGTAAAATGAAAAACTAGTACCTTATGTAGATAATAATGAATAAAAAAAAAAAAAATTAAACATAAAAATACGTGTATATTATTCAAAAAATTGACATACAATCAATTACATACTCAATGGTGCTTTTTAGTAGTCCTACTTCAAAAAACATAATAGTTCACATCAAATTTAAAATTTAAATTATGCTGACAAATATAATTGCAACCATATGCACAAATAGGTAAATAATTTAATAATATCAAATACCTACCTAGTGTACATAATACTGTAACACGATGTTAAAACTAAACTATAATTAACTAGTTAAATAACTATTATTATTTGGATATAGTTTGGTCTAGCATATGATTTTTAAATATAAATTTTAATTATTGAATTAAATTAATTTTCACTAGGATAACAATACAAGTTACAATATAACCATTAATATTGTAAAAAAAATAACAAACATTTTACTTCTAGAATATTAAATGCTGACATAAATAAAATAATATATTTGTTGAGGACACATAAACTCATTAATAAACACATTGATATTAGTTAATTAGATAACACTTTAGATTTAATAATTTTAAATTAAAATTATAATGTTTAATATAAAATACTAAATATTTCAGTATAACAGTATTAATTCTAATAAAAATGCTTAAAAAATGTGCTGACATAATACTTGAATCTTTCCTTACAAAAAAAAAAATAAAAATATTTTCTGATAAGACTTCAAACATTTATCTTATTAATTATTTTATTCTTAATAAACAGTAAATACATTTTTCCTTTTATTATTAGGTTGATTAATAAAATTTATAATATGCATTTTAACATTATTAACATTAACATTTTATTAACATTTTAACATTATTTTAACTTTATAAAGATTTTTAATTTTCAGTTTATATATAATAATTAATATATAAATAATAATTAGTTATTATTTAACTCAGTAACATTTAAACCATGAAATTAAAACAAAATTTAAAATTTGAACAAAATCAAAAATATTAAATATAACATAAAATGACACATAAATTCTAACACAATGGATGGGTTCTAAAATATTTTAAAGAAATAATAAGGCATTAGTGACACCAAAACAAAATGAAAACCGGACATACATATATATACCATACACACAAATGACTCATACATATTTTGAAAGCTTTTAACTAAAAGTAAAACAATTCTACAGTATTTTTATAGGTGTACAAATTATGAGTGATACTTTTTATTTATTTGTATGGCAATGAGTGATACTAATTATAGACTACTAAGATATTTTCAAAATTTGATTTCAATATCTCATATTATAATTATTTAATTTTAATATATGACATTGAGAGCATAAATTTACCTGATTTAAATGCAACAAATTGCAATAAAACACAAGAAGCTTGTAAAAATAATCTGATTAGAACTAAATACTTAAATATTTCTATATTTTTTTTATTATACTATATTTAAAAATGTATAAGAAAATTAATAACCTATGATACATCTACAAATTACACATTATTTGTATATACATATACTTATATATTCCACTGTTTCTATATTTTCTTCATTTTACAACTAAAATTATAAAAACATAAAATTGTTTGTTTATATATCTTTAACTTTTGAGATTAAAATTAATAATATATTTGAATATTATCTTTTATACCTCTTTATAATTAAAAATCTTAAAAGTATTGACAAATTTAAGTTTAATTATATAAACATATCAATAAAATTATTTATGAAACTTTTTTTTTCTTTTTTTATGAAGGTTATTTTATATTATTACGTATCAAAAATTATTATAAAATTAAAATAACTTTTTTATGGTTGGTAATATTTTGAAAAAAAAAAATGAAACTGCTAATGAAAAATGTCATAAAAAAATATAAATATTTATTCTAATAAAATATTAGTTATCTCAGTTTTTCTTAGTTTTTTCTTAAAATTATATTATAAACCCATTACCATTGATTAAATATAAATATTAATATTAATTTCATTAGTTTATTAATATAATTTAACTAAGAAATAAATAAAACAAGATTATTCAGACACAAATTTATTTTCTAGGAACTATTATATTATAACAAATAGCATTTTGGTTTAGGAGGCAATATAAATTTATATTTTTGATGACTCTGAGGTAGTGTACATTTTTTTTCTTTTCTATCACATATTTATAAAAAATTATAATTTATACAGATTTATAAATAAATGCTTCAAATATTTCTAATTATTAATTCAATAAAAAATAAATTAACATGTGTTTCATTTTAAATATGAAAAAAGATCTATGAAGAATAATATATATATATAAATACAAATAAGTATTAAATCTTCATTCTAATATAATAAGTTCAGTACTACTTAATTAACTATCTTAACACATTATATTAAAGAGAAAATATTGTACAACCATGATGAAGAAAAAATATATAGAAACTAAATAACAGGTATTAGAAAAACATAAAAGTTTTAAAGGTTTAAAATGACTTATGTGTGTATAGAAATAAAAAAACTCGGTTTATAAATGTTTAAATAAAATCACTTACTTTTAGTTTAAATAGTTTATACTACTTGATTTCTTGATTTGAGCTTTAATTAAGTTGAATATTAATTAATAGAAAAGTTTAAAATTTAAACAAAATTATATAAATATTTATAATGCCTTCAAACCAAATTGAAGATTTAAATAAAATAAAAAGATAAAAATTAAAACATATAAATATCTTCCAATAGACCAGTAATTAAAAGATCATATCCTTTTATTTGTGTTTTTTTAAATCTTAATACTACAAAAACCAGTAACATACAATTGAAGATTATGAAGCATGTAACTTTTAAAATGGATGTATTACCGGAAAGTTTGACCACAAGAGGTGAATAAAAAACTTAGTGTAAGATTAATACAATCCTTGCTTCACTTAGAATTTATTAATTCTTATTAGAATATAAATCATGGAAAAAATAAGATTTAAAAAAATCATTTTTAAGTTAAATATTTAATAACAAATTACTTCTATATAAAACAGTATTTTTATTAAAAATGCTTGATGAAGTTTTAATAATATGTAATTTTTTAGTTTGATTTACTAAATTTATATAATTAAGTCTCTAAATGACTACACATTATTAATAGCTAATAGGACTATAATAGGACTATGATTTCAACGCATTTATAATTGGATAATCTTAAACAATGCTTTCCGATTTCATAATTGGTTTAATGTAACAAATAAATAAAAATTTAATTCTAACTAAATTATAATAAGTTAATTTATTAACTTGTTTTTTTTTTTTTAATATCTGTTTTAATTAAGTACAATTTTTTAAATTTCAGTTGTTTTTTTTTTGTAAATTATAAATTAAGCACCTTACAACCTTACATATTTCAATATTTTTGGATCATTTAAATCCGAAACTTTTGGATTATCAAGTAGTTAAAATTGCTTAATCATAACATACATGGATATAATATAATTATTTTGAAACATTAAAGTTTTGTAAACATTTCAAATGTTTGTGATTTTAATTTATTTAATGATGGATGTCAAATATCTTATATATTTTTATCATGGAAATAATTTATTGCACTGTACAAACTATAATAATACATTAAGTAATATGTAGTATATTTTGTTAACATAAATAATAATGTAAATATTGTTGGCCTATAATCAAATAACAAGAGATTAGAGATATATATTTTGTACCATCAAAAACTTATAAATTCAATTGACAATAGTTACATCTCATTTAAGTGAAAACATTAATTTATCTAAAATTTATTTAATTAAATAATGGTGTACAATAATAATATTACTTAAATAATGTAAAATTTTAAATAAGTATGAGAAGATAAAATAAATTTTGATCACAGATAATAAAAAACTAAAACGTTTTAATAATAATTAAAATAGAAAAAGAGAAAGAGAATAAAATTAACTAAAACAGTCAACTAAACCAAATTAATTGAATAGGACACTCAAAGACAATACATCAAGGACTCAAACATCATCAGATCATTACAATTTAAATTAACTAAAAATAACAAAATCTTAACCTAATATAAACTATGTGATGACAAACAATTAACAAATATATACTCAGATTATAATAGGAAAATAAAAATTTCAATTAAAAAAAATTAATTTTAGAAGAAATCCCATAAATTGTTTGATATTTTAGATAAATACAAAGAAATAACCTATTTAAAATATTTTAAAGGTTCAACAGTTATAAAATTAATATCTTATCTTGTTATTAGTTGATTTTGAACATGTGGAATTTAGGTTTTAGAATAGGTCAAATTAAAAAACGTACAGTTTAAAACTAGAATTAATAAACCGATTCTAAAAATTTGACAATAATAAACACCGATATAATTCAAAATAAATTATACTAATAATTACGATAATATTAAATTCAAAAAAATTAGATACTTAAAAAAGTTTAAGGAAAATAAGGGATTTTATTAAATAGACTACATACTTTTGCTTCAAATGTACTATTGAACCAATCATTTTCTTCTAAGTATGATCCTTATTAAAACCAAAACATTTAAAATTTCACATAAAATAAAATCAATATATGTTCATCATCTATTACAAGAAAATTTACTATTGGCTGACATTAAACTTGACATTGAACCTCTGTAAAATAAAATAATTTATTAAATATTAATAAAATCTGTACATAATTGGTTAAGATTTAATTTAATTAATAAATTTAAAATTAGTTAATAATTACCGATAATCAGCAGATTTCAGCATTTCATAATAATACATAATTTTAGCTTTAGTATGATGCCCTGAACTAATATTTAAACTGTCCGATGACCAATACCATTGTAAAATATATGTTCCTCTTTTAGTGGTAAGATGAGAACCTTGTACACTCTCACCATCATGGCATAATATGGTTTGTTCCACCTTTTCATAATGTTCTCCTTCTTTCCAACCTTTTTCAATAACATTGAGATTACCTATAAAACACAAAAATATAGGATAATTATTGTTTATTAATTAATTTTAATACATATTATGTAATAAAATAATAAAGTACCACAAATTGGGTGGAGGATTATTTAATAATATGGATTTGTAAAAATCACAAAATTAAGATTAATAAAGCGAAAAAAAATTTTAATATTTAATTTGAATTAGCAAATTCCTAAAAAAATTATAAATAAAAAATACATATAAAAACATTGTAAACTATATATCTTAAGTAATTTAATAATAACTACATATCTTATGTAATTTAAAAATATTTCTATTAAGATATAAATACCTCTCGCACAGTTAAGAAGTGTAGAGGGCTGAACTTCAATTAATAACCTCAAAACATTAAAATTTATATCTTGTCTCATTACATCAAAGTCCCATGTTATTACTGATCCAGACTCTTCAACATCAATAAATTCTTCATGGGCCTTTAATAATTAATCAATATTAAATATTATATAATATACATATTTCATATTCTGTATTCATATAAGGTTATCTTTACCTGTCCTTTAGTAAGTGTAACTGATTGATAAATGCTGTCTTCTGTAATTGTATAAGCTTCTTTCTCTAAATCTCCTTCTTTGAGGTATAAATTTTTTGGCACAAAACCACCTTCAGGAATTTTAACCTTAATTAAACATAGAAACAAATATATTATTAATAATACAATAACATAATAAATTGATTATTTTTTATAAAATAATAGATACCTGCATCAATAAAAAAAAAACAAACAAATAATTTTAAATAAAAAATAAAATAAATAAATAAATTTAGGAAATGGTTAATACTCGTAAATTAATATATAAATAAATAAAAGCTCAATCTGGATTATTATTATATTTGTAAAATAAGATTGATTTTAAATTAAAAATTCATTATCAGGTTACAAAGTCAATAAAATCACAACATTATTGCCATTACCTAGTGATGATTTTTTAATTTGAAAACTGTTGTGCATTACAAAAATAATAATACTTCGAGCTAAGCATTAATTAATGAATGAACTTTTTTTATATATAAACTACTTTTTTTATGAACAATTTGAAATAAAATATTACATACTTTACTAGGGCCTCCTAGAAAATCTGGCATATCATTTGCAGCAATAAATTCAGAAAGACCCCCAGAAGCTTGATAATCATTGCCTCCATAAAATAGGAACTTTGTACGAGTGGTTTCATCTAGTAAAAATAAATATATTTTAAAAGCTTAGACAAAAAGTTAATAGTTATGTACTCACTGATAAATGTGCTCACTAATGTCCACAAAACTGGAAATACTCGAGGTGCACGAATTATAAGAACTCGTCCTAGAGTTTCTGGGTAGTTTGATTCTACAATTTCAATAATTCTTAATAATGCACTCACGCCAGGTCTCCACAAATGCCTCATGTTTAGCCCTTCTAAATCAACCAATAAACACCAAGTAGTAATTGGCTTTCCAGATGTATGTGTTGCTTCTTTTGTCAACTTTAAGCCTTCTTCACATACATGCATAGCCTAAGTACAAAATATTATATTTACTACTTAATTTTAGTCCAATTATATCTATGAAAAACTTTTTTTATTATTTTATTATATTATATATTATTTTTCAACCCATTTCCTTTTAAATGGTATTTGATTAAATTGTTATTTTTTTTTAACTTAAAATATATATTTTTAATTATTACTATTCATGAATATTTACCATTAAAAGTAAAAATTGTATAGTGCCTAATTTAATAAATCTAAAATTAAAATCTAAAAGCTTTAAATATACTGATTATTTTAGTAAAAAATCATAATTTTTAATAATTTTATAGTTCTTAGTTATTACCTATATTTATTTATACATTTTCATACTTAGATGCTACCGATTAATCCTATACCAGTCATTACAGTCAGGTGATCCAGCTTTTCTATGAATGCTACGTGTCACAAATTTAATTCATCTATTTATTTATTATTTACTCAATGTACATTTTAAATAGATTATAAATAAAAAAATTGAAATAAAAAATTGAATCACTGATTTTATATAATAATATAAAATTAACAACGCTACATACTAATTTAATTTCTGTTTAATGGAAATTTATATATATACATATATAAAATTAAATAAAATGGAATGATATATTTATAATATTTAAATGCATGTATATTTGTTATTTTCTCAAAAATCAAACATTACAAGACCACACAACATGGCCCAAATAATAATCATAAATATCATATTACAATCGATGTAGACTGTCTACCATTTGGTGTCTTAGATATAAATATTATATGTATATTATAATTTACACTGAAATTAATCAAAGGCTACATTAAAAACACATTGGAATTATTATTCATATTAATACAACTTAACATATATATATATATACAGTATAACTTCGATTAATCATGTATATTTTTTAGAAAATCTGTATGTAGCGAAAGTAAGGAGTACACAGGTTAAAGATAACATTATAAATTTAATAATAAATGTATAAACTATATTATAAATATATTTATGGAAGTAGTAGATATTCTTCTGAAATTCTGTGAGCAGGAAAATCTTGACTTCTGTAATGTCATGAATTCAAGAAAACTTAGAATATTTAGAATTGAAGTAAGAAAAATCATTGTAAACCGCAAAAAACAAAGACTGATACTTCAAATGTCAAGCCTTGATAGTTTTAAAACAAGAAAATATGTATTTATATAACATAAGTTAACGAAAATGTAATAATAAATAAAAAAATTAATTAAAATTTGTTGAATAAAAAGTTTTGATTAACAGCAATTTTAATTTATTCATGTGTGACTCTTTCCCTCCATTACCCTGGATAATTGTGGTTCTACTATATATATATTATGAAAATGTTTTATTAAGTGCATTCATTAAAGACAGCAAATCAGTGTTTAGTTTCATGAGATTTTTTTATTTACTTAAAGAATATTATACAAATGAAGAACAATTGTAATAAAATCAGTAATATAATGTATTAAGTATAAAAATTATATGAAACTAAAAAATAGTAACTTATTATAAGTTTATAATTTATTTACTTGTTTAAGAAGACAATGTTCACCAACTGATTTAAGTAGACCTTTAACATCCATTTGTCCTAAACGTAATATATATAAGGGGCGTCCTTCTAAATAAAACCATAATAAATTTAAAAAATTAGTTTTTAATTGTTAATTTAACAAAAAAAAAAATGAGTATCTTAAATTAGTGAATGTACAAATTTTAATATAAAATATATGCTGAAATCCAAAATAATATATTTATGAAATATAATTAAATAAGTTATTTTTTTACCTTTGTCATGATGATGCCATCCACATGGAAAATATTTTTTAATTGCTTCAGGAAACTCATGTTCTGATAATATGTTGTCAATATTATGTTTTTTTCGCCATGTGAGGGATTGAGATAAGTTTTCTCTGGCTTTTTCAATATTAAAATCAGTAGCTCTTAAAAACCTTAATAATGTTGTATCACTAGGTAGCTGAAATTACATCATATTAATTAAAAATAACTAATAAATAATTAATCATATTTACAATTATTTATATTCATATTAATAGTACAGTAGATTCTCATTATGTCGAATCTCAAGGGGAACAGGAAGTAATTTGAGATATTGAGTTTTACAAAAAATTTAAAAAAATTAAAAATATTAATATATGAATAATAAATAATATAAATGCTTTAAATAATTAAAATACTGAAATAATTGAAATTACAGAAAACATAACTGAATAAATTAATTTTTTTTAAAAAAATCTGTCATTGAAGTTTGCATAATATTACTTCTATTTACCACAATGTCTTCCAAATTAGATAACCTAGAAATATCTTCGTGTCTGTAGTAGTCTCAACAATATCCCTTAATGTTTTTAAAACATGTTTAGCTTGTTGAATATATAACTTCCTTCTTATATTGTGTTTGTCTTCACTCTTGCTGGAATTTTTGAGTTTCTGATCAAATTTTATTATCTGTCTATTTTCTACATATATGTATATTATCGTTCATTTCTACATAATGTGAACAAATTCTGTCAATTAAATTAATATGATTGGCAATAAAATTCTATTTATCATCAGAAATAGTAGTAGAGTTATCTATTGGAATTATATTGCCTTCTGAAACCAGCTTTTATGAAGCAATAATATAATAATAATATAATATAGTCTGTGGTGCTACATCTCTTCAAGCTTTATCAAACATTCTTATAACTTAGTATGTTTATAGAAAATTTGTTATTATCAATATTATCAACTAATCGTCTGATTATTTATTTTCTATAAAACATTTTGAAATTCTGCATAACATCTTGGTAAGTAGGCTAAAGTATATGTTGTATTAGGTGGTAAAAAATGTACTTTAATAGAACTGAATTCACTATTATGATTATGAGCTGTACAATTATCTATGAATAGTATAACTTTTTGGTTTTCTAATTTAATTTTCAAATCGAAATTTAATAGCCATACACTAAATAATGATGAAGTCATCCAAGCCATTTTATTTGATCTATAGTTATTTGGTAAAGATTAAATTCCTTAAAAACACTTAGGTTTCTTTGCTTTACCAATGATAAATAATTTTAGTTTTTCAGTTTCAGACATATTTGCTTCTACCATAATTGTAATGCGTTCATTACCGTATTTTCCACCCAAAAATTCTTTACCTTTTAACATTAAAGTTTTATCTGGTGACCATTTGTAAAATTAGCCTGTTTTTTTTGATATTAAAAATACCACTAGAAGAATAACATGCTAAAACATCAGGAAAATTTTTAATCCAATTTGAACAACAATGTGTGTATACTGAAGCACTATCTTCACAAACTTTTCAAAAAATTACGTTAAGTTTTTTTCAATTTGTAAGCTAGCTTAAAAATTATTGTGTTTAAGTTGTTGTGCATATTCGTTTGCTTCTTCATGTAAAATTGTTCCATTTAATGGTATGTTTTTTTCTCGACACTTAATAAAACATTTTAACAAAAAAAAAGTCATCCTCATTTTTTTCATATTTCCACAATTTAATTTCAACATTTTATTTTTCTGTTTAATAACTGATGATAATGTATTTGGTGAAATATTGAATTAATTTTTGATTTCAAATATTTTAGTCACCTTTTTTAACTGTACAAAACTGTACAAAACAAATTGTACGAAATTAAAAGGACATTTATGTTACGCTTCTTTTCCATTTCACTACAAACGAACAATTAAAAATATGACTAACTACCAACGAGCAAAATCACAATTACTATACCATAGAATATAATTATTAAGTTTATTTATATTACTATATTCTATGACTATACTGAATGTATTGAATTATCTGTTTTTACCATAGTAACAATATTATTTGTGTACTTGAGATAACGAAAAACGATTAATTTTATATCGAGTTATCAAGAGCAAAACGCTATTAAATGTAATGGTAATTTCAAGGGGAATTCTATGTAGTTCGAGGTAGTGACATAATAAGAATCTACTGTATAACTATAACTTAAAAGTTGATAATAGTAAATGCAATTAATTTAATGTTAATTGATTTTGATTGTAAATATCTTAGCATTATTAAATACAATGATATCAATTTTTGACTGAAATGTCATAAGAAATTTTAAATTTCATATAAATTTATCGAAATAGTAAAATTGCAAAAAAATTATAAAATTTCTAAGATCTAAAAATATCCTCATAAAAGAAATCCATATTTTGTGGTAATTTTTCAATATTATAAAAGATAATAAACATGATTTTGGGTGTTCCATATTAAGTCCATTAAATAAACCTAAATAATTGTTTTGTATATCATATTCTACAATTATCAAATAATACAGAACCAGATAAATAAAATAATATACCTTGGACTTTTGTAATTGAGACAATTGTTTCTTAAATTGAACTAATTTTGATTCTTGTAATGGTGTTAATTCACCAATATATCTTTTAATATATTCATCTTCTAACCATATTTTTGACTGTGAATCTAAAGAACACATACATAAATATCCATTAAAATAATTATTTTATAATTTTGGTTAAATTAATTTTCTAAGTAATTAAAATATTACACAACCACTATAAAAAGTTAGCATTTATAGCTTTAACTTCGTCATAGGTAGATAGATAACACAATGGTAAAATTTAGCTACCTTTGATAGAATTTAATCATCATTGCAAATATACAACATCAGAGCTAATATTTTCTAAATACTAAGAAATTATCAACAAACTCTAATACAACTTTACCTGTAATTGGACTACTGCTAGGGTTATTTTGACTTTCTTCTGTCTTATTCAAATCACTATAAAATTTAAATTTATTTATTATTAAATTTAGGTACAAAAAAATAATAAATATATTAATATATACACAATTATAGATATAATAATATTAATGAATCCATCAAATTATAACAAATACCTAAAACTTTATTTTCTGAAAATCAATGCATTTTCAATTTTTATTTCCTTCATAAATAACATAAAATTAAATTATTTATAATTTGTAGTTAAAAATAATTGTACTAAGAATTTAAAAATATAAAGGTTTAACCATTGATTTCAAAATTACTACTATTTAATAAATAGTTTAACCTATTTTTATATTTCATTATGAAAATATATAAGTTTATTTATTAATTCATTAATTTATATATATACAAACAATTAAATAATTAAAACACATTTATTTAAATAAACTGACCAATTTTGATCGTTTCCATGAGGTATCCATCGTGGAAGATTAGTTACTCCTTCTTTTTTTAATTCATCAACATAGAATTCTATTATTTCTTTGCCCTTGGATATATTCTGTATATATTGTTTCATACCAAGTTTTTCCATAGTTGATTCAAAACCCAAAAAATATTTTATATCTAATAATGCACTCTGTTCATAGCAAGTCCACTCTGAGTTTTCTGGATGAACCTAATAAGATGCAGAAATAATAAATTACCTTAACTCTTTTTTTTAGATAAATAAAATGAATTACATTAATTTTTTAAGAGTAAATTAATAATGCAATTTTAATGCATAAGTATATATAATCATTTATAGTTAAATTAAATATATCTAAAATAATTTTGAAACATAAATATTTAAATTTTATAATAATACTAAGTTATTTTTACTATATATCAAAAATAAAAATAATAAAGAATAAATTTTTCTTGGGATTATTAAGATAATTAGTTTTAAGTCAATAAAAATCTATCAAAAATGTATACCTTATTATTAGGGAACGGATTTATATATAATAAAAATACAGAAATATGTACATATGTATGCAAGTATAATTTATAAAATATATGCTAAGACCATCCAAATATGTAGGAAAACAATTTAATAAAAAAAAAATTATAATTATTAAATTATCAAATATTAAATGTCGCCTATTAGATCTGAAAATATTTTTAAAACAGCTAAATTATTGTTCCACATCAACTTACATTGGTCGATTTAAGCACATTTGAAGGGCATAATATCAGAAGGCGATAATTCCAAATTTTTAGAAGGGTGTCTGCCACTCATTATGTCATTGATTGATTTAAAATCAATATAGCCTGGAATTTTTTTCTGTAACAGCATGAATTTTCTTTTTTACAACATCTCCTATTGGTCCACTTACGAGTTTTCATTTTGCAATCGTTGATTCGACAATTTGCATACTTTCATTCAAGGACATATTTTTGTTTCTAATTTTGTAAATGTATGTGCAATAAAACTAAAATTCACTGAGATGAAAATTAAATTAGTTTTCAATGTTTCATTTTACATAATTTACATAATATTTTGAGCTTTTATAATAGTGATAGAAGTTACTGGATCTAAATTTGAAATAATTTATTGTATTTTTGTACGAAGAAGACGTATGAATGATGAAATGATAAAATATGTTTAAAAATATTTACAAATTAGTAAAATATGTAAAAATATGTAATTATACCAAAATATGTTAAAATATGTAAAGTAAAAGTAGCATCATATTAATAGGAATGATTGAACATGAACATTTCTTATAAAATCTTAAATATCTCGTTCTAATAAAAATATGTATTTACATAAAAATCCGTTCCCTACTTAATATAATTAATACAAAATCATTTCACTCTTTTAGCAAAAAATATAGTACAAATAAGTAAATAGGTTAAATGTTCCATAACAGAATTAGTATAAAAAAATCTAAATTTTAAAAATAAATACTAAATACATGCATACGTAATGTTTAACTGTAGGTAAATTCTTAAATAATTAAATAATTTTATGGGTACTTTTTATTTATATAACCTAGATTGTATTCTTCAATGTTATATCTATTAAATGAAAAAAGTGGTTTGTTTGAAAAATTTTTGTATCAAATGAAAAACTATTATTTTAATAAAGACATGACTTACATAATAACGACACTTTTCTAATACATTTACACGAGTGGAAAATGTCTCATTTGTTGCTTCAATATTCAAACAACGTTCTCTCAAATCGAGGATATTTTTTTGAATAAAATAAATATAATCTACACCAATAATCTAAGAAAGAAATGCTGTTATACATACATGAACACTATAATACACAGTAATTTCAATAAGACCTTTTTTAATAAATAAGGAGCTTCTACAACTAGTTTACATCTCCTTTCAGTTGTCCTAACTGAACCATCAGCACTTGTGCTATCAGCTGTTATTTCACTGCCGACAAAAACGGGTATTAACGGGGATGTAGGAAATCGTCTTTCGTACGCCTGTAACAATAATATTGCGTTAACAGAGTGATCGATATCTGTACATAAGTGTGATGGTATTATGTCCTGTTCAATACTACACAAGAATAATAGCTGTAACAACGCAATTGTACTACGACAGAACCATAACTGTTTATGATATTATAACCAATACTCACAGCCATGACGATTTCGAATGGATACTTGTAGACGCGTACCGGCGATTGATATTCTTGGACCATCTTAGTGAGAAATAAAAAACAAACAACGAGTAAAATCAAACAATAAAAACGGTCACTAGGCTAATCGATAATCCATAAGAATATTTTGATCAGTAATTAAATTATTCAAACTATATGGTTCATTTTATCACACAAATCACAATCAATACTATGACGTAACCGATATGGTTAATCTATTTACGGTGGTGACCAGTTGTTGATAACCGTTCCGTTTGCAGTCCCTGATACCTAGGTATGGTGCGAAGTCGATGGATACTAAAACACGACCGGCGGTACCTATAAGAAATTAATTAAGTCTATTTAGTATAATTTTTTTAAGACCTGTAATCGTGATTTCGACCAAAGTGGTCATAGTTGCGTTATAGACGCGAAAAAACATTGTTCTGTTGTCCGTAATAAATCGAACGGAAAAATATCAAAACCCATAAACATATACAAACATTAATAACTGTATGTGTAAATGTAAAAATGGAATCTTTTTCATGGATGTTCTCTGAAACGGCTCATCCGATCAACTTCGCTATTTTTAAATGAAAGACTGCATCACGGAGCAGGTTTTAGGTTTTAATATCGATCATGCTCCAGCCCCCTTGATTTCAATTCTATAAATTAATCGAGCTATTATTTATTTATAATTGTTTATTCTTTAATACCCCACTGAGCAGCGTGGCAAAAGAGCACATTCGCTTGGGTTTTATCTTAAAACTTTATATTAGACCATCTTTGAGCAGCTAAATAAAAAGCTAAAATTTTTTATCTCTGCCACCAAGAGAATTTTGCTGTCAGTCCTTAGCCTGGGTTAAAACGAGAAGGAAAACGACGATTATAATTTTTTTTTTATTTGCCTATATATAATCACCTAACTTAACATAAAGATATGCATTTATTTTCACGGGCGAATCCGGATAATTCAGATAGATATATATGTGTACGAGATATGTATAGATTTTTGTAAAAAATACTACCGTCGCACTGAGTGCGACGCGCAATAGTTATAAATAAAATAACCTCGCATTACTCTGTTACGCGTCAATAGTCACCGCGACGATGCGTTGCATCAGTTCGAATGTTCAAAAATGCGATAATCTGTCCGGTTTTTAGCGTCTAGTACACACTATTTAAAATTATATCAATTGTGCTCGTACCTTAAATAATTTATAATAATATACATACCATTTACTCTATAGACAAGACTTTAGACCTTTAGACTTTTCAATGCACACATTGCTTTCTATAAAATTATCGCGCTATAAAATTACCACGGCATAAAATTGAATAGCGCCTACAAAAAACTGATAAATTGGTAAAATTATGTGCAAGTTACTAACTTCGGTCCAAAGTGCAATCCGATTACGAATTAATGACCCTCCACACTTCTACTTGTTCATAGTTAAATACACGTGATAAATTTTAACGTTTTTGGTGGTTTATCGATAAGAAACGAATTTCAATGACAACTAATTAGAATGCCTGGGGCCGAAAACCACTACTCAACGGCTATCATGATAAGGTATAAAATCAATTGGACATCTGTATGATTGTATAACCTGCCCTTACAGGGTGATTTCAAAAACCAAGGCCCTGATTTTTGTTATATATTCCTTTAGGTTAAGGTCCGATTACAGATTAGAGAATCTTAAATTTGCTAGCTTCTTCGTACTAGAAATATATAAATTAATAAATATAATTGATATATATATTTTATATATAAACCTTTGTTTAATACAATTCAAAATATGCTTTTACATGATAATAAAATAATAAATGTTGAAAAAAAGTTATTATAATTTAGAGCGGTTAGTAATTGATTTAGTTCTTGGCTTGAAGAACACATCTTATCAACTATGTGATTTCCGTCAACTTGGTTTAAAATATCTCATTCATATTTTATTAAAAATAAACACTACTCTTCCTGTGAACTTGTAAATTTCTATATTGTTTTTAGAAGTTTTAGTTTCGAAAATGTACGTTTACATGTTACTTGTGTGAGTATCAGAGTAAGTAAATATTTATAAACAATTTAGAATTCTTTTTACTGTATAGAATACACATTAAACTCTGTTAATATACGAAATAAATTTCAAACATCCATTGCATGCCTCGTCTTTATTACATTTTCAGGCTTATAGAGATCTACCACTATGCATTCGTCTTCAAAATTAATTTAACTAAATTATCATATGTATTATGCACATCTGTTTTACATATAAATGGCCATGTTGTACCTACCAAATGATACAAGTTCTTTAAATTTACCTATATCTATTGTAAGCAATAGTTGACAAATTCGTTGCATTTAATGAAACACAATTTATCCTCATGTCTTTAAACCTGCAAGGGTCAAAACATTTTAATTCTAGATAAATTTCTTTATGTAGTATAATCCTAGAGTATCCTCTTATACCTTGCACAGTATATTACTTAAACTTAGTCATTAGTACTGTGTGACTATTTTAGTTACACTCCGTAGTATAATTGGTCATTTGACTAATATTGTATTCGACAATCTAAGATCGACTCAAACTGAAGAAAAATTAAGCAATATGGCATTGTTATCAATAGAGAATTAATAATAATCAATAATGACATGTTAAAATAATTACATTTTAAAGATTTAATCGACACTTTTGCTACTACCAAATGTCGACGTAGACCGATATAATTATTAATTATTATATTCAAGTTTGAAGAATACATTTTATTATTTTATGTAGTTATTAATTATTAATAAAAAAAAGTTAACTTAATTTTCATGGGCACATCGTGCATCTGCCCGGTTGCCCAGTGGGCTTGATTGTATCATTATGCATAGGGAGATTTACTATCCTCAATTTATTATAAAACAAAATTAATTTTTTTATTGTTTCATAGTGATTTTGTTGTTTATATGATTTGGATTACGAAAATCTAAAATTCATCTATAACTTTAATTTTGAAAATAACAGAATATTATGATGATAATATTATTGAAAAAACAAACTGAGGGTTTGCCCATCAACGGCCATCTTAAATATACCACTGAGGCACTGTATAACTATTATTGCAGTATACAGTATATACTCCATAATAATATATTCATTATTGTTGGTATCGATATACATTGTAGTAAAATGTTTATCGATAAAAATGATTTTACTTAATTATGTATATTATACGCTTAAAATGATGAATCTCAAGTTGAGCAAATGTTAGCACACAAAAAGCCACAAGGTAATATGAAAAATAAATTGAATCTGTTTTTTTATTCACTAATGTTAGTATTTGATTTAAATATTATTTTATATTTTGTTTAAATTTATTATTTATTGGATCATTTTAATGAGCCATTGTGATTGTTAAACATAATCACTAAAAATACAACTTACAACAATATGCTAAAATTACAGTGAATACATTACCATAAATCAATGTACCAATGGTACTTACCGGATTCACAATAATCCGGAGTGGTACGAAAAAATAGAAGTTTAGGGACCATGGCTGCTATGGTTTAAATGTTCTTTAAATATGCAACTATCAGTGACATACATAACTTTACATCCGATGCATCTGAACCTCGTTCTATCATGGTCTATTTTAAAATTGCTAGTGTAAACAACAGTAACTTAATTTGAAATTCATTAAATTACTTATTTTAAGAATTAAACAAATACAACGTTTGTTTAACCCGTAAAAATCAAGGACTTATTTGAGGGGGTGAAGGGGGCATTCGCCCCCCTCCATGGCTCGTATTTTTATTGAATATTATACATTGATTTATTTAAAAAATGTAATGTATAAATAATTAAGAATATAAATGACTAGTTTATCATTATAATAGGAACATGAGCTGTAGATCATTATCTGTAAATTATTTTTAAGTTTGTATTAAAGAAAAATTAGTCTTGCCCCTCCACCCCATGGCTTTAACTCAAATACGCCCTTGGTAGAAATTATATACAGACTTACTATATTAGGCTATAATTATTTAACTGATGAACTTATAATTAATTTTAAATTGTATGATTTGAACCCCATAATGAATTATTGCATTTATATTAATTTTGTAAATAATTGTCTCTTACCGTATAAATATTGTATAGTTACAAGATCAAAATAAAATGCTACAAGTACAAACTATTACGTACCTACCTATAAATTTTCTATTCGTCGTTTTTTCCCGATTTTTGTCTTCTATACGTCCGCTAGGTTTCAGTGAATTATTCAAAATTTTAAATTACACAATTTGTACTTAGCAGTTAATCTCGTAAGTAGCATAATACATGAAGCGTAAATAATATATAATATTAACATACAAAACAAAGATATGTAATCGAACACTACTGCTGTGTCACGGTGGACATACGGTTTTATTGTATTAATTAAAACCAAATCATCAGTTTCATTTCGTTTGGAATGTAATCTCGAAAAAGATAACAGTTGCTTTATGACAATCTATAACATAGACGTGTCACAGATCGATTATAAAATGAAAAAGAAATAATAATTATCATAACAATGAAATACTTAGTATTTTTGTATCAGATATGTAACGTAATCAGAAAAGTGATGAATTAATTAGAGTACTTACCTCGTGTATTCAAAATATTGAATAAGACTACTTTAGACTAACACTATCATTCCTATTTTGAGTGTAGCATATAAGGCAGAGGATGTTGAGTCTTAAACATCATTCAGCTTGTTAGTTTTCTAGACTACTGTTTTCTGAGCGCGAGTTTACTAATTTACTAAAGCTTTGATTTATTCGATCACGTAATACAGCATTAGGCACAATTATTATTTTTTAAACTTTTTTTTGATACAGTGGAATGTTCAATAGCCGTTTGGATAATTGCCATTCGAATTCGTGTGAGCTGCAAGCAAGAGCAACAAGCCATAGATTGTTATATATTGTTATAAATTATAATATTTAAACATTTTAAACTCATCAATTATGTATACTGATTGTAATATATTGTGTGTAATTATAAATTGATGTTTTTTAAGTAGCTAATAACATGTTTCTGCCATTAAATATAAATATAAGTAAATAACATAGAGTGATGAAACGTGACACGGTATTAGCTGTAAAACGTTGTAACACATGATTAATTTCGGTTTAATTCTTCAAAGGACTTTATTCTTATAGATAACAACAACTTATTTAAGAAAAATAAGATTTTAATTTATTTCTTTAGGGGCTTAATAGGATAAAATTCAATGTGTTTAGCCCTTATTCGACCTCGACTAGACGTATCAGTGTACTAAAATCTTATTTTAAAACCATTATTACATTATTACATAACCACATTGGAAATATAATACCTTTAAATTACTATATTGCGTGTGAGAAAGGAACTTCGCTGTTCGTGTAGAACGTTAGTCAACGTATCAAATTACTTATGTACAGTGGTTAAAGTAGTAAAAATGTTGAGGGTGACTATAATCACCACCAACTGAGGAGCGTTCCTTTACAAAATTCTAAGACCTACCAAAATTTTTTAGATACCCACGAGCAGGACCAGTAAGAACTTCAGAGGGCCCCGGGGCTGCGGGGGTTCCGGGCCCCCTTCTCTTTGCAATTGTTTGACCGAGACCACTTGTACATGCTTTGATACAACAAAAACATTGTATTCAAGGCCTAAACGACGAGTCCTCTTGGATATATGGGTCCCGGGGCTTTAGCACTCCCTCCCCACCCTCTCGCCAGCCCTGCCCATAAGGCCTTTATCATTTTTCTTTTACACACATTTGTTTATAAAAAGTTTTATAGAATGTAAAAACTAAAAATAAATTTCCTCCCCCCTCAAAAAAAAAAAAAAAAAAAAAACGACCCCATAACATATTATGCCTGGTCAGTAAAAATAAATTACAATATATAGTCTAAAATATTTAAAAATTTAAAGTTATTTTGTCAATCAGTGAATTTATAGAAAAAAATTTGTTTTACATATTTTAGGGATTAGTGAATATTATACCTACCTATTATTTATATTTTAAAATATGTTGTTGTCTGTAGAAAATATATTTTTTGTTCCATTCATAAATTTGGTTTCTTATGTCACAAAAAAAAAAAAAAAACAATAGGAAAAAAAACTAAGATAAAATAATAATAATTATTTTATTTTGATTTTTTTTTATTGATTTTTTTTATAAAACGTCGGCTTCTAGGGCCATTAATTTAACAGTAACTTAAAATTAGTTTACAAAAGTTTATCTAATGTTATTGTATGGCTTAAATTAAGTTGTATAGTTGAATTTATTTTATGAATAGTATAATGTTGGTGGTCGATTGAGGGTCAGGTCCCAGCGCTTCTCCGATTTGTTATAATATGTGGTATTTTTTCCTCGTGTCTTCGTATTTTTGGCATTCAGTGATTATATGCTTTACTGTATAATCCATGATTATTTTATTGTATTGTTTAACACTTGACATAAATTTGTTATTTTTATTTATTTTTTTTTTACATATGAAAAATTTATGCTGGTTATCTTGAATTTTTTGTTGAACACAATTTCTTTTATTGCATTAATTATATCGTATATAATATTCTTTATTATATATTCTTAGAGCCGTTGCAAAGGGGAGGGGGGACAATTTAGTCTCAGACCCCAATCTAGAAACATTTAAAGGGGGTCCCTTAAAGTATTTTTCTTTATAAAAAAGGTTATAAATATTTAATGTTAATAGGCATTTAATTAAATTAAATTGAATTTATATTTAAGTGGTATTGTACAAGCTACATTTTCAGTTATTAAAATATCTAAATAGTTATAACTGTAATTTATTATGTTTATTTTCAGAGTGTGAAGAATTACCCAATTTCAACCAAATGTACGTAGAAATTCGCTGTCGTAAGTATCGACGTGACAAAAACCAAGTTCTTACTTTCTATAGCTGTTTAATGTTCTAGAAATCAATTTAATTTTTATTAAATGTGGTAATTGATTATACATTGTCGGGAAATTATTAAAAATGTAATTCGTTGTATCAATTCAATTAAATGACCTTGGTTGATTGAAGCTCGGAAAATTATATTAACAAACATTTTTTAAAGTGGGAGTGTATTTTTTAATCATACTCGCATATTATTGTAATTTTCCATAGCTCTTGAAAATCCTGAGGACGGATCTGCTTATTCTGAGTAAATAGGTACATTTTTATAGTGCGAACATCAATTCAAACATCTTTTAATAACATAAGTCAAAATATATACATAATATATAATTAGCATATTCGAGCATATTTTGAAGAAAATTATTTCTTGGATTTAATCATTTTTTTGAGTATATTTTACAAGTTTTTAAGGAAATATTTAGAGCATATTTTGCGGTTTTTTTAGTGCATATATTAAACATTAAAGAACCAATGAATCTGCAGTCCAACTATAAGAAACTGAAAAACTAACATATATTTTATTGTAACTCGTTTACACCATATACTGCCTAAAACAGAAAACGAAATATATTCGTATAATTATTAGATACTGTTGTCTATCATTTCAATTTTAGATCAGCCATTATAATAATTAATTGTGTGTTGGTAAAAGTGTCTACGGAAATAATGTCCATTTACAAAAGTAGCTCGTTGAGGGAAAAAGCTTGGGTGCATAAACGAACGCAAATCTGTATTTCGGGGGGTGCTTACAATTTGTTTGAGTCCTATCTTAGCAAATAAATCATAATGTATACCTACATAATTAAATTAGCTTTCATTTTTTACTTGATATTGTGGTATATTAGTCTCAATGTATATGTTTTCCGTGGATCTCGTATAGGTGCGTATTTTAGGGGGGAACGAAGGAGTGATCGTCTCTCTGAATTCATATTGAAGGAATCGGTTATATGTGGGATACACATTTCAAATTTTTTAAATGTGGATCATTTTATAATGAAATCAAATTACACGTGGCTGTAATTGAGTTTTTTTTGGGTCCATACTTAGTGAAAAATCAAATAAAACACGAACAAATTTGAGTCCTCCCCTAGAAATAAGTCTAAATACGCCCCTGATCTCGTATATTTTTCTCAGATAGCTTAAATTATTTATGATTTATATTTTTATAGTCAATTGTAGTTATTATTGTCATATTATTATTAATATCAAAATAAGATTTTGCATGAAAATTTGTAAAATGTATAATATTTTTTCCTATTATGAAACATCAATGTTTTTTAAAAATAATTTCAGAATAAATTACATTTAATTTGAGCAACATCAGTTAAAATATGGACCCTTACTCTTTAACTTACATTTTGGGACCCAATTTACTACATTTCATGGAGTGCCTAAGCATAACGGGCACCTTCTCTCCTCCCTCCGTGAACACGTCTATGTATATAAAATACATGTAGGTACATAGGTATTGAACTTTTTTCATGTCTATTATTGACTATTAAAAATATTACAGACTGAAGTGGTACACAATGTAAATACCAGGATCTATTCTAAACCGCTGTTGAACGGTATTTACATTATTGAGAATTAGTTATATATAAATTTGATCATCAAATTCATCAAATCAATAACTCTGGCTGAATAAAATTGAAAGGCAGATGAAAGATACCAATGAAGTAAAAAGAACAACCATGATTTAAAGACATATTTGAAGTAGCTAATAACATAACAGATTAAAAAGATGAAAAACCATTAAGCATCAAAAAGCGAAAGTTTTAGTAAATACCTAAACACAGAAAAATAATTGTCGAATAATAATTATTATTTTTTTGATTTAATTTTAATTTTTCTACTAATAGAGTTAAATAAATCCTAAATGCTTATTCAACATCTACAATGAAATTGTTATGTCTAAATATATTCAATTATTAATAATTATTATACAAGTTAATTTAAATGCAAATATAAATTATATTTCATAATAAAAATCCCTTCAACAGATATACCATATACATAATACATAGGTATTGCATAAAAATATACAAAATGAAATTGAATATTACTTGTTATTGACAAAAATCTTTAGAATATACCATGGTAAATACGCATTAGTTTGTTCAGTACCTGGGGTGGATATACAGGAGGGAGTTCAAGAGGTCAGTTGATCCACAGTTAATATTTGGCTTATATATATAATATATAATATTTTTAAATTAGCTTCTTGAAAATGTATTACACCTATTAAGTGTGCCGACTATAGAGTGAAGTATCCATAATATTCACTCTTCCAATGACGCCACTGGTTTAGTTGTATAGTACTGTAAAACAGCTCTATGCTGCACCTATACTATTATATACATTTATATTATGAAGGATATCTGAATTTTGAATAATATGCAATACATGAATAGTAAATAAACATATATTAAAAACATACGACTTTAATATATTTTAGCAAGTTTACCCATTTATTTTAATAAC